GGAGGGAAGGAAGGAAGGAAGTAGGGAAGGAAGGAAGGAAGGAAGGAAGGAAGGAAGGAAGGAAGGAGGGAGGGAGGGAGGGAGGGAGGGAGGGAGGGAGGGAAGGAAGGAAGGAAGGAAGGAAGGTCCCTTTTGGCTCACAGTGGACAGTACAGTTATCATGAGTGAGAAGATGTGGCAAGAGCTTGAAGCAGCTGGCCACACTGCATTTCCACTCATAAAGTCCAGAACCCCTGCCCATGGAGTATGCTATACACACTTAGAGCATCTCTTCTCACTTCAATGGACCAATCTAAAAGTTCTCTCACAGGTATTTGCAGACGTTTGCTTCCATACTGATTCTAAGCCCCATCAAGTTGGCAGTTAAGATCACCCATCACACAGACACAGAGATGGAGACATGAGCAGAGATGTATGAGGTTATTTTTTTTTCTAGGATGGTTCTCTAAACTTGACGCTGTTTGAAAACAAACGTTATCTTTGTCCCCCTCCTCCAGCCCCACGCTCTTCCCTGCCTTTCACTCATACCTATTGGTCCAGTATCTATTTCTGCTCACCGTGAGTGAACTTCAGTCAACTCATTATTTTATTTGAAGTTTTGAAACTTGTGGAAAGCCAGGAAAGCTATCACTCTAGCATTCAAGAGGTAGAGGCAGATTCTAGGCTAGCCTGGTCTACACAGCCAGTTCCAGGTCAGTCAGGGCTACACAGTAAGTGTCATTATTAATCTGCTTCCCCTCCCCCAACTCAAAATTAGCTTAAACTTTTGTGTAAAATTTTAAACATAGGCCAGGCCTGATCGTGCATGGAAAATCAGGAGGATTGCAAGTCTGAGGCCAGCCTGGGCCACTTAGTGACACACTGTCTCAAAAACCACAAAGAGCTGAAATGTAGCTCAGTGATAGAGCATCTGCCTAACGTACGCAAGTCCTGGGTTCAATCTTTATACTGAAATAAAAAAGAAACTCAACCTTAGAAAGTGCTGTAATTAATGAACCTGTGTACGGCACTCCAGTAACTCAACACAGCCTGATCCCAATGCAGATTCTTTATACCCACTCTCTGCCCTATCCTAGTTCAACCATTCAGATTCAGCAGGACAGTATTCCACTCAGTATTTCAGCGCGTGCGCGCGCGCAAACACACACACACACACACACACACATGCACGCTGCACATGCATGCAAGCATGCATGCAGTTTCAACACCACAAAAACGCTTCAAACAACAGCAGTTATTTCAGCATCTGAGCCCTATCCGTGCTCCTCTTTTCTCCGCTCCCTCAATCTCTTAGTCCGTCATGAGGCTCCTTAGAGCATGGGCTTGCCCCGGGTCCTGTTTATAATGATCTTGACTGTGTCCTTGCCTTCTGAACGGTGAGGTGGTGAGGCTGTCTTTGGAGTCTCCAGCTCACCATGGAGCCGGCATTCTAGAGCTGAGTTTAGTGGGAAAGGGCTTGCAGAGGCTACGGCCCAGGCATCCTCCTGTGGACGGTCAACGTTGGGGTGGCATTTCCTGCTGCTGTGATCATTGCCACAAGGTTAGAGCCTCAGTCCTTTTAGAGAGCTACCCTAACCTCACACTACACCTTCTCCTAGGCTGATGTGCTTAGCTAAATGCCAGCAGGCCTGCCTCTCGCCCCGAAACACACACCTCCGCTGACAGCATCCCTCTATATCACTGCTGTATCTCTGGGGGACTGTCACTCTAAAGGAACAAGTAACTGATTTTAAAGGTCTCTGGAATTTGTCTTCTCCGTGTGATTAGGAAGGAGCTACATCTACACTCAGATTCATTTTGTTCTCAATAGTTGGGAATGCTTGTTAAATTTAATTTGCTTTGTAGAATGTGAGAGATATACACAGTTCCAAAGCCAAATATGCCCCAAACAGCGTTTTAA